AATTTGCAAAATATATATATATATATATATATATATATATATACTAAAAGTAGTGTCGCAGGGATATTGATTAAAAAATTAATAGTATAGACTTTATTAAAAACGCGTTAAAATGCATTAAATATTATTATAAGATGCATTAATAATATTTTTAATTAATAAAAACTTTTTTATTCTTCAGATTAAATATTTATATGGCAGGAGTTAGATAGATGTAAGATCTAGATTCAATCTTTGTAATATTTTTCACAAATAAAAAGTATTAATATATTGTAGGTTTGATTAGAATTAAATTCAGATTTTTTAAGTAACATATTGATTTAAAGTATTGAAAAAATGTAAAATGAGTTTAAAATAATAATGGTTTTAATAAATCATTTTTCTAGTTAAAATTAGTCTTGGCAAAACATATCAATAATATAGTGGTGACAAAAACAAAACTTGTGATTAAATACACCAAAGACACTACTGAATAATGAAAGAGAGAGAAAAAAAAAGAAGAAAGAGTTAAACAATTTACAACATGTTTTTAAACGTAATAAGCCCATCATAAAACAATTTTTTTTAGAAGGATAAAACTGATTTATGCGTCTTAAAAATATTAGTCCTTCACTATTGATCCAAGAGTATATTTTAAAAAAATAAAAAGTTGCTTACCTATACGCACTAAGCCCACAATGATATTTACCCGTTAGCATAAAAAAAAAAATAAAGAACACCTCAGCACCAGAATTATTCTTGAAAAGGATCTTTCTTATTTCATTTGAATTTATTCACAATCAACCATATAATGTTAGGAAAGGGAGGAAAGGAAACAGTATATAAACGGGTTATGATATATTAATACAAGAGAGAAATAGAGACAAGAACAAAAAAAAGGTTAAAGGAAGAGAGGGAAAATAAAATAAATATGAGAAATATGTGAGAGAATTGAAGAAAGATGAAAAAAAAAAAAAGAAAAAAAACTGAATGTATGTTAATAATATATATATTTTTGGACTATTTTAGCCATAAAAAATATGACTTTGGCGAAACTGTATACAGTATAGCTCTTAAATTATGGTACTAGAGAAGGTTAGTCGAATATTGGAACGCAGCGCTCTAGAATACAATTGCACGCTGCTCGCCTGCAATATGTAAAATGTAATGCAGGGTACAACCATTTAATTAGCTCCACCGCAGAAATGCCTTGTTTGGCTGCATATCCTCTCTTTAATTAAGAAAGCTTGCGTTAACCAAAACTTTAACCCATTTGCACCGCACTTTTTTGACATTCACAGTCACTGAAGTCGATGATACGTACAAATGGTTCAATGAAAGAACTTTTAGCTACATTTATGTACTTGAGCAATTATATTTAATAATTCATTAAACATGTTTTCAATAATAACACCTTACATTAAATAGCGAAAATTTTGAACAATAACACCTTACTTCTCGTATTATAAAAAGGTGGAGATATTTCATCAAAAAATAAAAATAAAGAAGACACATTTGTAAATTTGAATTTCCCCCATCTTATTATTAAAGGAGCATAAGGATAATATATAAAAGATACTTGAAGATAGGATTTTAGAAGTTTTTTTATTGTATCTGACGTCTACAATTTATTTATTTCTTGGGATCAATCTATTTTGGATGAGGTGTGAGATATTTTTTGAGCAAGTTTTAGTCTTCTTATGTGCCTTCTAGGATTATTTTTCTATCATGGCACATACTACAAAATAGAATTCCCACGATAGATTAATTGATTATTAGAGAAATGACCTTTTCTAATCCACAACAATCGTGTCTATTTTGTTCTAATTCTTTGAAATCACCACAACACTTTTTTTTGAAATGTGAATTTTCTATAAATGTATGACATAATGTTTTTATTTGGTCATGGATCCATTTGGAACTTCCATTCTCTTTGGGTCAAATGTTTCTCTTCTTAAGGAGCATGTTTTTAGGTAAAGTAAAAAAAAAAAAGTGGAGGGATATTTTTTGGCTTGCAACAATTTGGGTTATATGGACAAATAAGAATAAAATAGTTTTTAGAGACAAAAAGGTGTTTCATTTTGATATTCTTTATCAAATCAAAACCACTTCTTCGCATTGTGATGTATAGGAATGGTGGTAAGCTAAGTTTTTCTTTTGCATCCTGGTATACCGATCCATGACTTTATATTTTGGAGAGTTAACTAATGAATTGTTTGATGTATATTCTTTTAAATTTAGGCAACTTTATCTATAGAAGGTCTTTGATCTAGTTTGTACAAAACTTTTGTATAATCTCATTCTTTATTTTTAATTTATATATGAGACGTGCTTTTTAAAATATATATATATATATATATA